TGATTAGGTTTCTTGCATTTAAAAGTAAAATGTTAAGAGTAGTCACAGAGTAAAAGCAAAGTTGTTAAAATGAAAGTGTTTTATTCTGGGGTCTACCACAACTTCGCCGGCTGTATTTACATCACATATGACGTAAAATATATACTAACAGATTGCAAAGAAATGAACAAGAAGAAAAATATGTTATTAGACGTCCAACCTACGACCTCTCGCTCCGCAGCGCGTGGCGCGAAACGCACGAGACCACAGAGCATACTCTGTCTAGCTTGGTAACAGCTAGCTATTTGTATTCACTATATACCTTTGGCGGCCCTCAGAACTCAGCAACTTCAGTGCGTTTTAGTCAGCAATATGCCGCGAAAAACACAGGTTGGGCACGCTCTAAAGGTCGTCGCCCCTGCATTTTGCTATGCGCGCACCTGCATGGGGCGTACTCACTCGAGCACGCACTTATCTCATGATTCAGGCACTTTTTACCTCTTGTGCTTCCACCGCAAGTTTGCTTTGTACTTGCAGTAGTTAAATAGAGCAAGCAGGTCGCTTGGCTCACTGCCACGGCCACATTTATGGAAGGAGCGCGCTGCTCACACACGAAGAAGTAAAAATGGTGACAGTTTACACTCGGCCTGTGTATACTTGTGCGTTCATTTCGTGCATTTTTTATAGCGAAAGCTGTTATGAGATCACTTTTCGGGTCATGCGCAGTTGTTGTCTGCCGCCGTTGTCGCTGGTGTTCATAACCACATGGCTTGTAATTAGAAAAAAAAAAACCTTGCACCAGTGACACAGTGGGGCTTGAACCTGGGTCCGCTGGGTGCCAGCCCAATATTATATCACTGAGTTACGCCGGTGCTTGTAACTTGGTGTCAAACTAGGCAGGCTTGGGAAAGCAATTGCGTTAACACGACTTATAAAGCATTTTACAACAGCAAAAAAACAACCAGTCATCGCACAATGCAAATAGCTTAATGAGTGGGCCGTGCAATGCTCCAAACCATCACAAAAGCTTGTTCTTGTTCCCCTATTAAGCGGCATTCACACGAGAGAGAAATACACGGGGGATAAAGGGGGAGCCTAGTGACGTGAACAGGCGAGGCCAAGTCCCCGCAAATGTCCCTCACTCACACGGACGAGGTGAACGGTGGGGGAGATCAATGTGGCCAGAGCCTCTATCATATAATGGAGCGGGAGCACTGAAGAACTCTTTGACCACCCAGCTATATCTATATCGGCACGCTTTCGTCTTGGAAAGGTGGAGGGGGGGGGGGGGGGGCCTCAAAGCTGCGTTATGTCTTGATTGGAGAAGGAGGGAGGCGCTGGTGTTTCTTGTTTCTTGGGTGAGGAAAGGGCTGAAGAAGTGCCTGTTTTACACCCCCCTCCCCCCTGCCACTTTGCTGCTTTTAGAAACTTTCTTGTTTATACGTCTTTTTTATTGTGTGGAATGCAGATGCGGCGTTGCCCTTGGTTTGACTCGCCACCACAAGCTTTTCTTGTTGCAAAAACGAACTTGCCCAAAGTGACATTCTGGGCAGCGTCATTGACAACGGCTTTTTTTTTTTTTTTTTTTCGACTACAAAATTGCTCACAGCCGCTCTGACTCGTCAAATACTACTACTGAGTCGGTGGATAGGAATTTCAGTATTTTTCGATCTCGGTTGGCTTTCTGTGAACAAAGGAATTATGCTATCATAGCATTTCTCTCATGACAACTACCGAGAATCGAAGGGATCTAGCCTATTAATATTTGACAATTATCTGCACAAGCGTTTCATTATAATATCCAAACACAAGGTAACAGAAAACCACTTCTCTATTCACTACACAAACTCAGCCTAAGATTATGCTGCATCAGTGCAGCCGATAAGGTGAAATATGAAGTTTGTCATGTTTCTGAAAATAAAAAGCAGCTCTCGGATTCTATGGCTGCCCATCTAATCTTAAATTGAGAGGTCTGTTAAAAAAATTTTGTTATAAAGTAAGACATCTCCACCAGGCTGAACAAGCAGAGCAGCAGCAGTAACAAAAACAAAAGTGGACGATGTCACAATTCTTATCAGAATAACCACTTTAAAACAAAACTAAATATCACTCCATAGAAATGGTGGCACTCTATCATCTGCTTGTCTATCATCTTTCGCGCACCATTTTTTAGGTTAGTTTTACATAGTCATCGTAAGAGATGTTCCACAAGCGAGGATATTTTTCCACAAGAGAAAAGAAAAAAGTTGCTTAATCGTTGATTTTCGTCATCACGGGGCACGCATGTCCGGTGCGTAATTTGGAACAGCCGCCGCCGTCGCGTTCTGCAGGCACCGCAGGAGAGAGGGCTACAATGTGGCCAGACACCCACCCGAAATTCCACTATATTTCTCGCTGCACGGGGATCGGTCGGAGAAACGATCCCCACTCCCCCGAGGAGCCGCGAGGAGGTTGCATCCACACACTAACCTGTGACGTCGTCGTCACGTGATGTGCCATCTTCGCCTCTTTTCCGGGGATTTCCCCCTCGTGTGAATCCTGCTTTAACTGTGGTGCATACCCACTTCAGCCATAATTCCTCGTCGTCAGCCACTGCATGGACAATTGGCACAAAATTTCTTGCAAGTATTTAGCGAATACCACGTTTTTCAGAAGAATGACGAAAAATAGCATAGCGAATGCCGGCCTACGACCCAAAAGTTTATTATTAATGCCCTAGTGGGTACCAAGAAAGTGTGCTTGTAGTAGTTACCCAATGAGTGTTTTGAAAAGGCTCTGAAAGGTTGCTCTTCTAGCTTTCGCTGTGACTGTGCTGTGCCTACTGCGCAGGCCTGGCGTTCTTTTTGTTTGAGCAGGACGCTTTAAAGCAACAATGAAGGCAAATGACAATTTATGTTGGAATGAAAGGTCGATGTGTGATGGCTAAAATGGCAATATTATCAACAGAAGCGCCCTGCTTACCGAGAAATTAAGCTAACTATATCACAGAACCTGCGCCATGAGTGGGACATTTTGGAAATGATCCCAAAGATGAGAAAGTGTCCAACTACAAGTAGTAAAGCTAGCTGCAATAAGAAAAGAACCTGTCATGCATCAAGAAACGTAATAAAATGCAGTTTGTCTGTTTGTTTGATTTATATAAAAAAAAAAAGAACCACCTGGCGTACAATGGAGAATGGCGTGAGTGGCTCAAAAGTTCCATTTCCGCCTGGTTAGGCTGGATGGGTGGTGCCATCTAGTGGGGCCCAGTTCTAACAAAGCAAATGGAAAATTGTTCAATGTCCATTGCTGCTGTGGCTCCTGCTACTTTCACCCTGCTGCTACTAGTCTTGGCGGCCGTGGAGTAAAGGCGGCCAAACGTTAGGCACAGCACTAGTGACATCAGAAAGACCACTTTCAGGCGGCTGATTTGAAGTCTGCTCCCGCAGTGTGGACCAATAAAACTTGATTTTATTAAAAAATGAGCACTTCCTTGGCACAAAAGTAGCACTACGAGGTTTCTGGACCGCTGTTTCAGCAATCAATGTCGACTTTAGTGTCCCCTTAAAGTGTCGAGCTGTGACAGTTGTTGGTCCATACTTGTCCTGTGTATGCTCATTTCATGTGTGCTTTCTGCTTGAGGTGTGCGCTGAAAGTTTTGAGCTGCTTGCCGTTCTTTGCCTGACATTACAATTTGTTGCTGTAGCATTCATTTCTTCGCCCTCGTGGCAGAACAATGCACAGTAAATGCTCAGTTGCCTCTGTGAAGACATGTTTCACTTGTTTTACTGATTTCTAACCAAGGGGATCAGCCGTGTTTTTTTTTTTTAGGTCATTAGTATTTTTAGAAAAACAAAAATATTAAAAAGGCTTAAGTATCAAGTTTATCGCTACAATTTGGAAAAAAAAAATTAGTTTCATGAACTATACATAGTTAATTTTATGTAAAGTATACAAATTTTATTTGTTAAATGATGAGTTAAACACCATGATAAGTGCCATAAATTTGTGATATTTTGCAAAAATCGTTAAAATTTTAGAATTTCCGTGGAAACTGTAAAACGCATATATTGCATTTGACTGCTTTATAAGCTCTTCAACAGTTGTAGTTAGCTGTTTTTGATGCTGATTACAAATATGTAAAGACTACGCTCAAGTATTTCTGAAACTAATTAGCGAGAATTTTCATAAAACAAAGTGAACCAAAGAGTAAATTCTCTGTTTTCTGTGAGGGCATTGTTACTGTTCATTACAAGTTATCATTCAGTATGTCTAGATTAAGGCATTAAAATTCAGTGTCATTGTAAATGCACATAGGCAATCCTCTATATATAATGACTTGAATGGAGTTAGAAAATGCCACTGTGGGTTATATTAAGAGAGATCAGTGCTCAATGACATTTTATATCCCATATTGTACTGCTTTTTTAGCACCTCATTCAGTGCCTTCACTTCACCCATTGGTTTGCATTCTCCTCCTGTTTTTTGTCTCTTGGCCTATCTTGTGTAGACTGCATATAAATACATGTGGCACTTCTGGTCCTTTGTTTTTCCCGTTTCTCTATATTTCTTAGATTGTGGCATGCGAAGGTGGAAGTTCATTTGACTCATGCCAGTGCAGCCAGCAGTTTTGAGTTGGTGGGACATCATGGTGGAGGTTCATTTGACTCATGCCAATGTGGCCAGCAACTCAATAAGCATCAGTTTGTGGCAGGAGAAGTCGTGGGAGAACTCATGAACCTTGTCCAGCTAATACATACAAGGAAGTCTTAGCAGTTACCTATATGGATGTGAAATTAGTGCAAGTTTGGAACTGAATTTATTAAGGCTGTGATCATTTAATGTGTTTTCTTAATCTTGTTTGCAATAGAGCGATCTTTGTTTTTTCGTAAATGTTATTGTAGCAGGTTTCTACGTATGTTACTATGCACATTTGAAGAAGCTTTGGTGGCGCCATAAAGTGCTTTAATGCCCATGAATGTTGCTTTTAGAAATGAGCATAAAGAAACATAATTTATTGTCATTGTGTTTAATTTTTACAGGAGTGCTGCTTCATGGTCCACCTGGCTGTGGTAAAACCATGATAGCAAAAGCGACAGCACGAGAAGCTGGTGGGTGCATGAGTTCAAAATTTATTCACAGTGAATAAAACACCAGTGCAGAAGTAAAAGTGTTTCAGAGAGCAACACTAAATGAGGCAAATATATATAATCGGTTTTCTTGCAAGTTGCACACTTGATTCTGCAATATGACACAGTAAAGACCTTAACCCTTTTGCCCGCCTGTTTCCACCACTAAACTTCCATAATTTTTTACTATTGGTAGTTCATAATATTTTAAATAAAGTCTAGAATGCAGAAAACTTGTTAGGAAGTGCATATAAAATATGTAATAAACGTGAAAAATTCGAACGTGGAAAGTCTATATTTATTCTACCTTAGTAAATGTTTACATAGAATTTTTATCATATAATAAAATTATTGAAATTTAAACTAGATATAACTGCATTTCTCATACTCTGGAAAAAATTTGGGCAAAATTTCATGCAGATCCGAGCACAAGAAGTACCCAAGAAAGGAGGGGCACATTGAAAAAAATGGCAAATTTTTTGGAGAAAAACAAGCTTTAAAGTTAAAATTGAATGTTTAGTTATAAAAGATGTCATTAAATGAGATGAACATTGTACAGAAAAAAGGACCATCTTTCGTGTAGTAGCCACTGCCACTAAAATGTGCCAGCACCATAAGTTTATCCCTCACGGCTCCTTCGAGCTGACTCTTCACATACATTTTGCTCACAGAAAGGGCCATGAAATACTTGCCAAACTTCTTCCACTTCATCTGGCAGAGCCTCGCGCCGACTGCAAGCTAGGCAAAAGTTCGACAAGATTTGCAAATCTAAGCAAAGTCTAGTGTCAAGAGACACTACAGTGCCGATACCATTGTGGCTTTTGTGGCCTGTTTGTACCATGTACTGTCGCACTTAACGGCCATGTCATTCCCGCCAACTTCTCTCACTGTGAGCTTCCTCGACCTCGCAAGATTGGCGCAGTTGTCATTCATTGTCACATTCACGGAATTTCCGGTTGACAGCTGATGACTTATGATGCATTTGCTTTTGCAAGCCAAGAATTGCCTGAAATCTGACCAGCTGCTCGTAGTCTATTCCTACAGAGGACGTGGTCACAGCAGCTTTTATGTTTAGAGCGTAACTATTGCGCATGCTATGACTTTCTTCGTCCATAATGCAAATAAACACACGGCTAAAGGGTTCTTCAACAGCGCTGCTCGTGACATGAATCCTGCAAGTGGGCTTCACAGCACACACAGGCACGCAACGACCAATGGTGGTCTGCGATCCGTACCACGTGACTTAAAAGCTAGTCATGGCGCTCGAAAAAACGCGGCAGAAGCATGCTTCTTTTTATTATTTCTTGTGCTGCAACTGCACAGGAAACCGTTGTTATTTGAAAAGTGAGGCTTGCTTTGCCTCATATGCGATCGATAACGACGAGCGGCGGCGCATTATCAGTGGCAAGGTGCTCAAGGACTGCACACTTCGGCCTTTTAACAGCCACCTTGTGATCTTTAGACGCAATTTTAAAGCATTGCTAGTTGAGTCTCGACGTAGTTTTTTTTTTTGTTTCAGAACAGTCGAGGTACTGTAGTGAAAACAAAAATAAACGATAATTTTTTAGAAAACTCGCATTTTTCAACCTGCATATCCCCTTAAACAACTTACCTTTTGTATATTCGCTGATTCAATCCAGGTCATCACCGAACACATCATCAGGTCAGCACAAGTGCAGTACCCACGAATTGAAGTGTGAACATTTATGGCTAAGTAATGCATATACTTTGTTTCCAGTGTGTACATTTCATGCCATATTGGCAAAATGTTTACTCAAACTCTTGAATAAGAACCAACATTATTTTTTCTAGTCAAATTTACTGTGACATAATGCAGTTGATTGATTTGTTGGGTTTAACGTCCCAAAACCACCATATGATTATGAGAGATGCCGTAGTGGAGGGCTCCGGAAATTTCGACCACCTGGGGTTCTTTAACGTGCACCCAAATCTGAGCGCACGGGCCTACAACATTTCCGCCTCCATCGGAAATGCAGCTGCCGCAGCCGGGAATCGAACCCACGACCTGCGGGTCAACAGCCGAGTACCTTAGCCACTAGACCACCGCGGCGGGGCGACATAATGCAGTTATCATGAGTTATTGTTAGTAGCAGTCATTATACAGTAATGTGTTTAAATCTCAGTACTGTACAGAACAGTGCACCATTATTTCGAGAGCAGAATGTGCAGATGGCTTAAGTGAGGCTTAACTCACTGTTATTTCTCTTGCTACAGCAACCGAGTTCTGGCATGAGTATGCATATTTTAATCTCCATGCTGAGGTCGATGTTGTTCTTCTTTTTTAGTATAATTCTAAGGAAGATTGGTCATAGAAGCCATTTACATAAAAAAAAATTACCAGCAAGTTGTCTTTCTCTTGGCTGACAAAGTTAGTCTTACACACACTCACCATGTTGGTTCACCAAATAATGGCACTTTGTATGTGTCATCTGAGAATCATTCATCGTCATGAGCTACTTTTATCTTTGACAGGAGCCCGCTTTATCAACTTAGAGGTCGCTGCGCTTACTGACAAATGGTACGGAGAATCTCAAAAGCTCGCCAGTGCTGTTTTTACATTGGTAAGTTTGTTTGCATATGAAATAATTTGAATTGTTGTGTTGCATATCGGCCACTGTTTTAGTACTGCTTGGTTACTGGATGCATTTTTAAAAAATGTTTCTGACTCATATAGTGGTTTATTTGGCCCAACATGCTGCAATTTAAAGCACTGAAATAATGCAGGCAAAAAGGGCACAAACATTGGGCTGCATTCATGACGTCTTAGACAAATTGCTTGCAGTAGTTTGAATAATAGTGTGGTAATTGACATTCTTTGCATTAACAGTAGTATAGTTCAACATCAATCTTATCGTCATGTTCACAGCAAGGACATGGTGTAAAAACTGGCAATAATAAAAGTTGTAGTCTTTGCCCACAATGTCTAGGTCTGTATGGATGGTCATTAACCAGGGATACCGAACCAAAAAAGGGGCAGCTGCATAACAAACAGTGAAACTACTTTTTCTTCAGCAAATTTGCCTTTGCAGGTATGTACATTATATAGACGATAGTTTCTTTTAGAATAGCCATTCATCTGATTATAAGCCTACTCAAACCAGGAAGTCAAAGAAGAGCACATTGTAGCAAGTATGCTTGCCACAAGAGGCAAGATGGTACTCGGTGTAAATTAATTTTAGTTCACTTGCATGACTGTGTGATAGTGCATAGGGATGATATCAAGGATACCAAAGAGCTATAGGAAACCTGCAAGCTTATTTGTACATTTGAAACATAGAAGCTTGACCAAGTTAAATTCATGACATACAGTCACCTGCTGATTCCTGAACACCCAATTTTTTGGGCATGCTTGAAATCGTCATCACAAGACCCAGAGAAGTCACTGTGTAAGAATGTCCAAACTTTTGGGCGCTGAAAATCTCTGGCATTCGATTTTTCGGTCTGTCTGCGTAAATTGAAGGTCTGAAATGGCATTAAGGACACCGTCTGTGCCACATATATCACCACGTAAGTTTGAACCAGTACTTTCGTGAAGGGTGAAAAAGGCAACTTTGCTTCAATGCCAATATATGATGAAGTTAAGCATGTCGAAAATCTGAAGGGGCCGTTGAAGGAGCCACTGTCATGGTGGAGTGCTGCGATGTCTTTACGTATAAGCACCGGAAATGCACAGAAGCACGATAGTGGCTGGTGGCAAATGCACCAGTACAGCTTAATTGCTGGCAAAACCTATAATATAAGCCTCTTCAACTAACTGCTTGGCAATGCATGTGGCCTAGCAAAGTTGTATTGAATACTGCACGGCTTTAATAGACGATAACACAAACGCACTGCACCACCATTCATGCGGCCTCGTTGTGCAAGACTGCAGCAGATGAGACCATGAGGGAGGAACGACGTACCACAAGAAAACTTAGGGAAGAGTTGGGAGGATTGGGACACTTTTCACAGTTATTTCTTTAGTTTTGTTGAACATGAATACTAAAGGATGTTTGATTGGTTATAATACAGGTCTAGACAAGCTGTAGAGTTTCTGAGATACGCTAGTTTCTACTGCTTATGGTGCAGCTGTAAAAAAATAGTTTGTGATGTAAGAACTGTCCCATTCCACCCGCTTCTTTGGGTGGAGTATAACATCACTTGGGAGCAGTGGTATGTGTGTAACACAATGGTCCAAGTATCTTCAGTGACGATTATAAGTGATAGTTAAACGTGAAACACTAAACGTGGTTCCACAAAATTTGCTGCACCGGTAGTTTTTGACACTGGCATCTTCATTGCAATGTCCGTAATTGGTAAAGTTTTCATATCTTTGTTTGGAGGAACATAGAACTGAGAGCTCTTTGTTACGTAGGAACTGCACAATGACGCTGTCATGTTATGACTGCTCTTGACTCTAGCTATGTAATGAATGCCATTGTTTTTTTTTACTTGAGCTAACTAGAAAAAGATTGTCTTCTGTTACCTGAATGTATTATTAGGCCAATTGATTTCACACATGCCATCCCAGTCATTATCAAAACCTGACATGTCGTCGTGATTCTCGTCAAAGGCAACGGCAAGTGTGTCTGCTTCAGTTGAAAAGCCGGAATCCTTCAGTAAATGCTATTTCTTTTTTGGATGGGCTGTGGCGGCTGTCCAAGCTGTCGTGCTAGCCTATGTAATTTCTTGTTAAATTGGATGCTTCCCCAAAGTACATGTAACGACCTTTGTCTTAGCTCTTCCTTCCCCCCTCCGCTGTGTACCCATGGTGTGGCAGTAGGATAGAGAGCAGTGATCCCATTCCAGTACCAACGGTGCCAAAGTGAGCCAAATCAAATTTACTGCGCCATCTTGATAGTATCAACAGCAATTGCGCCAAAGTCGGATTTGGGAGCGTCTATCACCGGCAATAGTCACGCCGGCACGTCAATGCATTTGCACCTTGTTCTCGAGACCACGAAAGTCACAATCACGTACCTATTACGCTGAATAAAAAGCAATAGTGCGTGCATCCTAAAATTCATTATGCCATGTTTGGTGCCGATGCAACTCTGTTTTGCAATTCCGCGGAACGGCGAAACGCTCTCTCCGCATGGGCTCGTGACATCTAGTCCAATCAGTAGCGGGAAACTGGGGTGGCGATTCGTCGGCCAGCGCTTTCTTTTTAAATGTCATCTAATTTATAAAAGCATGCCTCCTGGCTGGAGCAGCTGTAATTCGGTTTTAATACGCTCAACTATAGTGAGGCCATCACTGGTGGCTCTGGTGTCGAAGGCCTGCGAAGCTGCTACGCCCACGTTTGCCTTTCGCTTTCCAGGGATAAAAAAAAAAAAAAAAAGCCAGGCCTGCACGTAAGGCGCAGCACATTCACAGCGAAAGCTAGAAGAGCGGCCTTTCAGAGCCTTTTCAAAACACTCATTGGGTAACTACTGCAAACACACTTGCTTGATACCCACTAGTGCATTAATAATAAATTTTTTTGGGTAGTAGGCAGGCATTCGCTAAGCTATTTTTCTTCATTCTTCTGAGAAGCGTGGTATCCGCTAAACACTTGCCAGGAATTTTGTGCCAATTGTTCATGCAGTGGCTGACGACGATGAGGAATTATGGCTGAAGTGGGTATGTACCACAGTTAATAGGAGAAAAAGAGCAAGCTTTTGTAATGGGTTGGAGCATTGGACGGCCCACTAATTATGCTATTCACATTGTACGATGACTGGTTGTTTTTTCACTGTTTCAAAATGCTTTATGTCATATTAACGCGATTGCTTTCCTGACATCAAGCCTGCCTAAGGCAAGTTTGCCTATAGTCACAAGCACCGGCGTAGCTCAGTGGTGGAATACTGGGCTGGCACCCAGCGGACCCGGGTTCGTGCCCCACTGTGTCATTGGTGCTAGATTTTTTTTTCTTATTCAGCACGATGTGGTTACGGACACCGGCGACAACTGCGCGTGACTTCGAGTTGTGATCTCATAACAGCTTTCCCTGTAAAAAATGAACATCATGGCATCGCATTTATTGCTTCAATTTGAAGGGAGGGGTGGAGAGGAGGCTATTGCGTCGCTTAAAGTAGCTGGCGCGTGCTATTTCAAGGCATAATGAAACTGCTCGTGAACTTTCTATGCTACTAACATTTGCTTCGCGTTTAGATAACTGACAGCACCAAAACTTCGGACTCTAAAGTGATCATTGTGCCTTTGGCCAGCGTTATTTTGATTTACGCGATATCGGACTTAAAAAATACAATTTGTTAGTTTCACTTACGCTCTTAGCAATGATTGCGATACCAATAAATTGTATCGTTATACCAAATAATAAGGCTTGATGTCCATGTACTCGCAAAAACTTACTGCACGAACGGTATTCGACATCCATGACCTGGGTGACTAGAGACCTCTGAAATATCTCTTGCACGGCTATGCACGTACAGATGGAATCAGACTTGTCTAGAGCGTCCAGTCGGCCGCTCTAGTTGCCATTTTCTTTAGAAATATGTAAAGATAGATGCCATAATGCTATCAAACATGGTCGTACTGCGTGTTAGGCTCTTGTACTCTAATGTAAGCATCAACAGGAGCTTGCAGCTAGCATGCTATCAAACATGGTCGTACTGCGTGTTAGGCTCTTGTACTCTAATGTAAGCATCAACAGAAGCTTGCAGCTAGCGTGAGATACAAGCTGCGGCCAACAACAGTGTCTACAGGCACGCAATCCACTGCTCTAGATCAGTGTGATTCTATCTGTACAGCTTGAACGGAACATACAAATGGACCTCCGAAATAGCGCGATGATTGTGCGGCCGCCTTGCAATCAAGGCTCAGTGCATACCCTTATACGGCTACTCTAGAAAGTGAAGCACAGTCGCATCGAGCGTGCACGGTTGAAGCCACCAGAAGCCGTTGTTGGTGTCCCGGAAGCCGCCGCTGCCATGAACATTCGACTGCTGCAGGCGCAAGGGCTTTTCTATTTTTAATGAAATGCTGGACTGTAGTGCTTTAAACTGTATGAATCTACCGGAAATGTTCCCACGAAGACATTTCACGCATAGGCACTGTTCACTGACCAGAGGGAGCTGCGTTGCTCTCACCGTCCTGTATAAAAGTCGCTGCCATTGGCCGTTAGGGGCACGCAGAAAATAGACGCGTGCATGTGTCCCCCGTGTATCCCGGCCACAAGCTGCACTGTGATGCCAGGTGCGAGACGCGTGCATCACATTCCATTTTTACTAAATCTCAATGTTGCTTCTTTCATGTGCTAGGTTATGTGTTCTGGTGCTGCAGTCTGATCGGCAAACTTGACTGTACGGTGCCCATAAGTACCTCATAATTATATTACTTTTTACGCAATCTGCGAGGAAATTGGGGTAGTTCATCGCATTTTTTGTAATGAGGCGTGTTGAAGGTGTCTTTTTAATATATATATATATATATGCAGCTTTCCACGCTTGACGCCTCAAATATGCGATAAGGGAGTCAGTAACTCTAAAAGGGACAACTGGATGCCATTTCCAGATAGCAGTCTTTGCCGTGACCCTTTTGCAGTCATGTTCTGACCACTCGGTTCTAAAAACTTATCGAA